ATCTATAATAATGTACATGGAAATCTATAAATATCTCTTGATTTCATTGCATGGAGGATTTCATCATGAGCTGACATCAGTTAGAGAACCACTGGAAAACCTGGGAGTAATGGATTGGCAGAAGTTAGAATTCAAGGACCATTGGATCGGGTCCCAGTGGCTCAATGATCTACAAGCTCGCCTTGTAACCAGAAGGTCCTGGGTTCGGATCCCGGTGGGCGCGTACTGCCGAAGAGTCACAAACTAGGACGAAACGGCTGTCCAGTACTCCCAGGTTTTCCAGTGGTTTTCTAACTAATGTGAGCTCATGATGAAATCCTCCATGCAATTAAACAAAATCCCTACCAAACCAATACTTGAAAATCTCTTGATTTCCTTAATAAACGATCTGCTGCCTGGTCCTTATCTTCTGTTGTTACAAGTGTACATATTAGGACTTTTTGTACTGCATTTATCTAAATAACTGCGTCAAACTGATTTACTTCTAACCATCTTCATGAAACCTAATCATTTGCACTTGCTTCAGTGGTAAAAAATGCAAAAACTAGAACAAAGCAGAGATTATGTTTTCTTTCGATTTTTCAGGGTCAATGCACATTGTGCTCGAACCTCTTCAGCTGTCATCTTATCTATTGAGCTTAGTGCTACTTCTATGTTAGGAATGACATCCTCTGGTTTTAATTTATTAACTGTTACGTTGAAATTTAGTCCTTTCTCAAGTACTTTTATCTCACTAGAGCTTAGTTCCCTTGATGAGAGGTTGATCACCCACTTTGTTCTGTCAAAAGAGGATGAAGCGCTGACATCAGTTTCATTTGTTGTGTTCTTTTCTTCAATTAAGTTGTTGAATTTTTTGATTTATGTTTTTTTTGATTTTCTTAATGCAGATCCTCTAGCTTATTAATGTCAGTAAATATTACTGTATAACACTGTGAGACTTTATCAAAATAAAATTTACACGTAATGAAAGCAGAGATTAGCATGGCAGTTGTACACGGATGACGTGAATCATTATATACTTGTGACTGCACTAAAATGACTGAATGGTAGGTTACATGTTTAATAACCTGAAAGGCTCTCAGCTTGATACTCGAAAGCTGATCATTTTAGAACGAAACATTTTCTGGACTAATGAAACTTCTCTTGTTTCTTTTCCCTTCAGTCTTTGCGTTCTGAGTAGACAGTAGAGTAGCAAGCTTTGAAGTGTCCATAGTAATGGTGTTCTTCTCTATGGGGTGGAGCTGCTAGTCTCAAGCTCTATCTTTCTTCTTTTTCAGGATTACTATCGACTATTAAATTAGGTGAGCTTTCATTACGCGTCAGCCGAAAATTGAACCCGGAAGCTTTGCTTGTCTCGTGAGGAACATACTACTGAAACATCGACACACGCTTAAGACATTGGTTTCAATTAACTAACTGAATTGAAATTTAGATTCCCAAAGATATTGTCTGAATTCACAACTTTATTACTTATTTCATGATAATGACTGATAAACCTTTTTATTTAATCTGATTTAAATTTATGCTGGTAGTATGGAAGCAGATTTAACGGCAATAATTTTTGAGTCCACATCAATGGCCATTCATAATTAACTTATTATATGCTTGTGTGGTGGTAATTTTCAGTCTACAAATGTGTTCTCGAGATTATTTCAGACAAGTTATAAAAATGATTCTGGAAACTGGATGAAGTTAGCAGAATGAACGGAAATAATATAAATCAGGCAGCTACAGCTCAGCTTACATTAAGAACCAATAAATATGTGCAAAATCAGTGATGTTCTCTCCTGGTTTTAATACAAACGTTGTTCTTAAATGTCTTCAGTCCTCAAATCTTTCCTAAAACATAGGTTGAGATAGCTGTTGTTTTCAGACAATGTGCAGATATTTAATATAATCCTCCTAATGATGTTTTCAGTGGATAATTTTCAGGAAATAATCTGCCTGCTGCTTGGTACAACACTTAGATTGTCTGGGTACTCAAATCATATGGACCATATTTTAAGTTTAAACCCAAAGCCAGGATGTCACACATTTTTTGAAACGAGGGTCTTATTTGATTTTAGACTTTCAGGGAAAGTTTTCAATAATCCAAAGTTATTTGCTTATAAACACGATAGATGTCCTTTGGGAGCCAACACTTTCTTAAATCGTAATACTGTTTCCATTTTGGACGAAGGTGCTAAATATGTTCAGTGTTCATTAATGAAATACACGTCTGCTTTTGACACTGTACCTAGATCTCTTTATTTGTTGCTACATACAGAGGGTGCTGGATTGATAAATGGCTGTATTATTGTTTCTCTGATGGGAAGCAGTACAATGTATAAAAGGGAAAGTCTTCCACTGCTTTACGTATTGTAACTAGTGTCCCTTAAATTGCTGTTCTTTCTCCTTACACGATTTGCCCCATTCTGATGAAGCCACTTCTGTTAGGAATGCCGATGATCTGACTGTTTCCGTGCCGACTACTTCCCAGTCAGACTGTTCCAAAATGAATAAGTCTTTATTAGAAATTAGTCAGTAGTCCTTGTCAAATGGTTTCAGCTAAATCCCTTAACAATCTCTTGTTAGACATAACACTGATGCTTAATAAACCCAGTGGATGCCTGCTGACGTTGGGTCCCAAACTGGGACGAAACAGTTCTGCAGTACTAGTTTTCAGTAGTTCTGTAACTGATATCAACTCGTGGTCAAACTTGAAAAAATTATCTTGTCGGACTTCGAGCTCTCTCTTCGTTCACAACTTCCCACTTATATCTCATCTGAAGCAATTACGAAAGACTTTGTGGTCGAACGACTAAATATGAAAACTCAGCGATAATTCAACTGAAGCTCATTTTATGTGGTGAAGTGTTTGGCATGAAAATAATAACTCAATGCGAAGTAGAAGATAAGCGGCTCTGTTTACTGTTCCTGTGATTAATACATTATTGTCACCATCTTTGTAATTCTAACTTTGCATTTATATACGATTGACATTCTTATTAATGTAAACGTTCTCTTAATCATTTTTCCTCTTGCTGTTTAATATAAAAAGAACACTAGATACGGTATTGTACTACCTGCTGAGAATTGCATACTGTATCAAAAGATCTGTTTGAAATAAGGTCAGAACTATTATTATTAATAAAAGAAGTAAAATTCCTATGTACCTGCAAGATCAAGTTCACTGAATAGACACAAAGATGAGCACCTACTCGCTTCGCCAGAAACATTACAGTAAGCTGAGACTCGATAGTCCTCAGTCATTTACCAGTTCATTTGCCCGACATCGAATCGGCACATAAAGTACCCATTAAGCTGCATATACCGTTATCAACAATTAAACAAATCTCAATTTACCTCACTTTGTTGAATCTATCCTAATCATGTGACTTACACCTATCCAACAGTTGAGGAACAATACAGTGAAACATATATGCATAACTGTTAAGTGCACTCATTATTTCATACTACTTTCAGAAACTACAATCTGAATGTCACTTAGATTCAGTTCACATGTCAAGAGGAGGTTTATTAGCCAGCTTGTCTAACTGTATAAAACGCTCTGTTTATTTAAATGTCTAAGCTAGAGTAGTTTTAAGTAACTATGCTTTACAATTGCATTTGTAGTTTTACAAAAGCGATAAACAGAGAGACACTTCTCCGTCAGGACTCATGGACACATTCCGTTAATTTTATTCCTCAGAGATCTAGTCATTTCGAACAGTTGACAAGTCGAAATAATTTTCAATACTGAGAGGTAAATAGATTTTTTGTCTGTTTTGAATAGCTGAAATCAGTGCCATTACATAATTTTTTTCAAGGGATACTTGCTCACCTATGATTGTTATGGTGATTACTGCTATTTATTTTCATGTAAATTTTAAGAAACTCTCTAACAACCTTAACATTTTTCTTATTATCTATTATTAAGGCAGATAAGTAGAAACGTAAAGGCTAACTGGATTGCATAGGGTATTTGTGCAATTTACTTTGAACTATTTTAACAACCTCTGCCCAACTTATTGACATTAAAGTTGAAATAAGGGCCAATTTATTCGAAAGGAAATTTGAGGGAGAAGGATGATAAAAGCAGATTGACAGGAAAATCAAACTGAGTCCGAATTTCCAAACAATGACACCTTCTAACCATCACTCCATTTGTGGTGTTTAGTAATTTCAAGTCCTGTGTAGGCAGTTTATTCTCGTTACTGCATGACTAACTTAATCCTAATTTGTGGATAAGACCATTCGACTGAACAAATTTTTTTGTTTGATTACTTTAGTGTACATTAAGATTTATATTGGAGAACTCCGTAGTAATTTATAACCTGTGGGCGTTGAAGTGACTTTTCACTTGAACTGTATTAATTTGTTCTACAATATTCCTATCTAGTTTAGTCAATTGACGAAAAGCCCTTGAAATGAAGTTAATCCACCGTACTCGTGATATGCTGCTCTTAGTAGTTCATTTATCGTTAAATTTATAAAATAGCAGTGGAAAACTAAGAAGTATGACCGACGGTTAATAATCAGGACTATAAAGTAAACTTAATCCGTGTGTCCAATAATTGTATACTTTGTGTATTCAATGCTTTGTACTCCACATTAGCCAGAAATACATTTCACAGTTCATACATTTATTGATGAATAACACGATATCTCATTTCTATCATTTGTTCCAATTTCATAACTAGCATTGGATTGTAGCAATGAACTTCTTCAAATTACCAGCTAATAAAATGAAAAACTAAGCAAGCTGAAGTGGTGTTTTTATAAATTGTGGGCTTCCTTTGTTAAATTTCACTACAACAAATAATAAAAATCCAGTGACAAATTTCAGAAGTACAGCTGGTTCTACAATATGACTAGCTCATAAAAGTCTGTAAAACTGTGACAATATTAGTTAGCTTCAGCAATAGCTTTCACGGCTTAACGTTTATTATGTCTGCTGGTTAATAAACAGAACACAAAACTTCTAAGTCAGAAATGTTTATTTAAAAACTACCGAATCTACTTGTTGTCAGTTTTATCTCTACTCCCCTTCATTGCAATCACTCTTCATCTTCCAAAATCACTTCAGCAGCATCAGGGTCGCAGTACCCAACACGTAAAGTAGGACATGTAGCAGCACAGCAATTGTAAGTTCTGCAACGTGGGGATATTTTCCTGTCTTCAATAAAGAACGTTGCGACCAGGCCTATGAAAGCGATTTATAAAATAATGTCAATATTCATCAAAACACAAAGTTTACAAACTCCACCATAATATGATGGAAAAAAGTTATATCAAAATGAGATACACGAAGTGATACCATATTTTAATGCTTAGCAATAACACCAACACTAGACAAAAATTAGGGTCAATTTTATTATTATTATTACTGTATCAACAAGTATCGCGTAATAACACCTTAAATTAGCCTGCAATGACTTGCTAGATGTTTCTGACCTGAAGGAGGTAGAATTTTATAGGCTTTGATTGATATTCACTAATCTATAAATTTACATACACTTCTGTTCCTAATGAAGTTAATGTTGAGGTTGTTACCAAAGGTGGTGGTGAAACATCCCCGGCAAAGTTCAGAAGTTCGAATCAAAAGTGAACCACTCTCATCTTCATTCAGAGCCAAAGATCTCCTTAATCTGTTCATGTGTTCTACACGATAAGAGCAGTTATTCTTTCAAATAAGTATAACCTGAGATACCCTGGAAAAGTTTTTGGATTCTCCGTACTATATTTTTCAGTGTAATCATATAATGATGCAACTCAAAACTTCTTAATACACCACACCACCAACCACAATAAATTATGTGAAGGATGATAATATTACCCAGTTAACTATACGAAGATAAGTAAAATGAACTTCGTAACCATGACATCTGAAATTATCACGTTTCGGGAATTCATTTATTTTCTAGACCAACTAGAGACGAGCCTGCAAAGCCTAACTTTAAAGTGCAATAAACATTTCAGAGATAAAGCAATTGTTGCATTCGGTCAAGTTACAGCCGGTGATAAAATCACTTCAGTACATAGAAACGGAGAGAGAAAATCACGTTGAAACGAACAGTGGTTCACAGTTCTGCTGAAACTAACTTGATAAAATTCTCACAATATAACATTGTGTATAAAAATGTTCTGAAAACTAGATTCTCGTCTTACCCCTTAGCAAGTGGTGAGACTATTATTTAGTAATTCTATTGAAACATCATGTCAATGAATAATCAAATAAACATCTTACCAACGATGCAAATGCATCCACAGGAAGTAAACTGTAACACATATGCATTTTCAGAAGTAATGACGGTCGATATAATTCCACAGAGAATGCTACCTACCGCCTGCAAAATAGGAAAATGGAAGTTAGTTAGTCTTCGAATAAACCAGCACACCTCAGAAGACTAAAAATCTCTGGTGACAAGCCCTTTAAATAACATCACTTTCATTATTCGATTCCAATAAACTAATTCACATTGAAGACTTATTTTGAAGAAATAAGCAGACACATAAAGATTGTCTCCCACCCTGCTGTTCATCTAATAAACACACATTAAATTAATTGATACAGTCAGATCCTGTATTGCAGTGAGAGTAAGCGACATGTTGATATGCCGTTCAAAATGCATTAGAACAAATACATCTAAATACTAGTTCATTCATAATCCTATATCTTTTGAATAACTTAGTAGTATGGCGGCCAATTTCAGCGCCATATGGCCTTTAATCCTACTTGTATTAGCATAAATTTATTTTTTTCTTACAATCTGAATTGCTAATACATACTTGTTTTCGTAGTAACAAGCCTTTTATTTATACATTTGAGAACAGACAGCATAACATGAAAAATTACGAAATATCTTGGTAATTCCTCAGTCTCTTCAGTTTATCTGCATTTGAAATACTATATAAGCATCAAATAATAAACCTTCAGGTTAAATTACAGCCACGTAGCACCGAGACCAATAACCACGACACAAGAAATCAGTTAGACAAACGGTTAAGACATTTATACAGTTAAGTGGGAAATGGTAGGACCTGATGATTAAGGACATGATAAATTGATGTAAGTAGTATTATATCAGCTGCAAAAAATGCCTACAGTTGCAGTTACTCCACTGATTCAAATTCAAAAGATGTTAACTCGGAGTTCACAAGTTTAGTCAAATGTCTATGAAATACAATGACTTTAGAACTGCTGCAGAAGTAAAGGTATGCATTCATTTCAAATGAAGATACTTTTTAGTTTAATTGATCTGTGAATAAAAGAATTTTGTAATGTATGCAAGTTATCTACGAAATCCTCTTTGAGATTTGTGTTCCAACATATCTCCATTTGATAGTTTCACTGAAATAATAGATTATAAGAATGAATCTAGAGTTACTGAAACGTAGCTTTTTGATTTTTTTTTTAGTCCTTAATGGCTACCTTACATGTAAGGTGGGATTAGAGTGGGACGATACAGAAAATTTCGATGTGCTGAACGCCTCCAAATAAAAGCATGAATCTCAGAAAACTCACTACATATCATTTGATGTCATTTCTTTTCAAAGTGAAGCAGTCGATACTATGAGTTATTTTATTTATAATACACTACACATACCATCATACAGTTTCTTCCTGTTAATGACAATTACATTTTACTTAGTAAGGAAATTATTTATTTTAACACAATTATAAATATCACCTAGGCACTGAAATTTACTCCAAAAATTAAATAGTTGATATGTGAAGTGTGAATGTTTTTAGACTACGTGAACATTTGAATAAATAACTTACAAATGCACTGAATACACAGCCATAATTCACCGCCATATTTAAAGGTCCAAAAAGAACCCCAGTAGCTGCAGGTTGAATGGTGAAGACGCCACTCAATGAAAAGTACAGAACAAATACCCAGATAGCGTAAACGGCTTTCAGTGAATCACCAGTCAGTCCTCCAATATGTGGGAAACTCAGAAGCACTACTGCCCAGATTGTATGCATGATTGACATTGGTATCTGAAATTGAATAAAATGTTTCACGAAATTACAACGAGTTTCCACTTCAAAGAGATGTTAACTGGTGATGAAGATCGATTAAACAAGCTACACCTGCAGGAATAGACGTGATAAATAAAACATTTTAAGTAATATCTATAAAATGTTAGTTAATATGCAAGTAAACACCATAGCTTATACACTATCGTTTTTGAGTACATTTAAAAGGGAAACATTTCACCGACCCTGTCTTGTTTGCGAACAGCCACTTCTACCCCTGAAACATTTCACAACCATTTTACTTCATTGTGTTATAAAATCAAGCAAGAGTGTGATATTCAATGCTTGAAAGAACTGAAACAAACACTGTCACATATTATTTGTTCGTCCGCATTAATTCCTATGAAAGAGTATCTTGTTTGTCTATTCTGGGCTGTCGGAAGTAGAACTCTACTAGAAATACGGGAAGTATACTTGCGTCATTACACGCATCAGGTGTTGGCAGGAGTCAGCAGAAATGGAAAGCTGAGCCAGGGTTTCATGTGTCTTGGAATTTATCAGCACTGTGTATTTGTGATTTCAAGAAGATGTTTAATTATTTCATAATTCATACCTGCGCCAGAAACTTTGCTGCTAAGTTATTCACATCGTGACTAGCGGTCGGTCGGTCGGTCGGTTTTCGACACAGAACTTTGCACATATGTGCGGCAGTTGAAGTCGCCACAATCTATGTCCCCCTTCTTGTATATCGGGATGATCAGTGACTTACACCAACCCGATGGGACTTCCTCTGATTCCCAGACGCTGCCTAGAACCTCCGTTAACGCAGACAGTAAACTGTCTCCTCCGTACTTAAATACCTCTGGAGTCAATAAATCAGGTCCCGCTGCTTTGCCTAGCTTCAGATTGGTGACAGCTTTAGTAACCTCAGTTAAGGACGGAGGACCTGTGTCTACATCCCATTCAGGGAGGTGTTGGATGTCCGGCAGGTTAAGTGTGGCTGTGGGCCAATTAAACTGCTCTTCATAGTGTTCTTTCCAGCGCTCCAGACGTCTATCCTGGGAGCTAATTATGGTGCCATTTTTCTCGGAGATTGTTTCGCTTATCATCTGCCTTTTACCACCTGTTTCCCTGATAAGCCTGAATAGTTGTCTGGTGTTGCCTATCGCCGATGCTTTTTCCATCTCTTTCGCCTTTGTCAACCACCACTGTTCACGGTCCTTGCGGAGACTTTTCGTAAGTTTCTTTTTGTGCAGCTTTCGCTCCTCATTGAATTCGGAGCTCGCCGGTATAAGTCTTCTAGCATCTATCAGTTCGGATGAGGCAGTCGAAATCCAATGGTTTTTACTCACCTTTGGATTTACCTTATTCACAGCTTTTACAGCTGTATCTATGGCTGACTGAATATTCTTCCAGGCTTCTTCAGGGTGAGCGCAGCTGTCGAACTCAGATATGTGTTTAGCTAGTTCTTCCTCAAATAGGGACTTAGTTCCCTGGTCGAGCTGGGGACGTGATGGGTTTACCGCCAGCTGTTTCCTACGTCCGTTCAGTCGTAAGCACATACGAGCGCGGACCAGTGCATGATCGGTATCTACACACGTGTTCCAGAAGGAGCGACAATCTCCTACCGACCCACGCCAACGATAGCTTATTGCTATGTGGTCTATTTGTGTCCAGCGTTGATTTGATGATGGGGGTCGCCAGGTCAAACAGTGTCTCTCCTTGTGTTTGAAGTTAGTGCTTACAAGATACAAATGATTATCTGAACAGAACTGTAGGAGACGGTCACCGTTGTCGGTTCGCTGGCACGGAATTCCGTATGTGCCACCGACATTCTTCTCAGATTGACACAATTTCCCTACTTGAGCATTAAAGTCACCAGCTATAACGACTATATCTGAGCGTCTAGCCTTTCGCAGCAAACTAGACAGCTTTTGGTAGAACTCATCCTTCGTTTCATCCGAACTGCAGTCAGTGGGGGCGTAGGCGGAGATTACGAAAAGGCATCGGCGAGTAGTGCAGTCCTTTCTCCTTTTCACTGATCCGTTCAGACGGACAGCACACATTCGGCTATCTACCGGGATCCAGTCAAGTAATGTCTTTTCTGCTCTAGTACTTAAAGCTATCCCAACACCAGCTAATCCTCGTGAGCTAGCCGTCGCATCTCCTGACACCCTCAAGGTGAATTTTGCAGATTCATCCTGTTGGCCAGGTGGGGTTAGGTGAATAACCACACTTGGGTCTTGTATGCGTGTTTCTGAAACACAACATACATCAATGGCTCGGGATGCCAGAGTCTTGGCTAGTGATGCTTGTTGTCCTATTTGGCAAAGTGTCCTAACATTAAATGCTCCTATATAAAATTGGTGGCGTGGTTTTAGGAGACCATCGATGGTGGCTTTTTGGCTTCCATCGTTGTCAGTGCACACAGATTGAAGAGGAAGTGAAGAGCCATCAAGTAGAGGAGTTGCATTGGTAGAAGGAAGGCAAGATAATAGAGATGAAGATGAAGACAAAGATGAGCGAGGATTAGAGGGGTTTCGCGTGCACTTCGGATTGTGAGGGCGGTTGTTACTTCCCGGCTGCCCACACCGTGGAAGTTGGTTGCGTGACCGCAGAGCCCAGGGGACAACTGCTTGAGGCCGGTCACACACGGCCTGTTTTTGTTTGTTCTTTTTTATTTGGTGTGTCTCAGTAGCGTATTTATCACTTCTGCCCTGTGACACGGCAGCAGAAAGCGCGGTCGTTGTTAATCCGGGCCCCGACCGATCCGGCATGATATTTTGTGATGTATTTGAAATCATAGGATTGGATTGGGTAACTGCTTTTAGTCTAACTGCTATCCAAGCAACCTTTCTGGCATGGTAGGACCTGCAGGAACATAAGTTCCAGCCAGTATAGCTTGTTGGGTCATTGCAGTGTTCAAGCCCGACCACCACGTCAAGGTAGCAGCTTTCGGTCGGGACTAACTATATATAGTGGAATTAGATAAGAGGGGTAAGAGTTCAGATTTCTATTGGAAAACAGACTAGTTAGAGGCATAATACAGGGTCAGGGTCAGAGAACAGAGTGAATTTACACATCTTGTGGTGGGGAGTTTAAGAGGGTGGGGGTGAATAGTGAAGTAACATTTTTAACTTAAAAAGACAAACAATTCAGGTTTTCCAATGGTTCTCTAACTAATGTCAGCTCATGATGAAAATCCTGTAACCAATCAAATCCCTACAAACCAACACTTGAATAACAAACAATTCAGTATATTTAGAAACTTGAAGGTCAAAATTGAATAGAATGTTACGTAACAAGACAAACACACAGGCATACTGACAGGAAGGCTTTTGCCCAACCAGTTATAAACGAGGTCTAGTAAAAACGCTCTTCAGGAGAGCCAAAGAAATATGTTCAGAAGACAAGATTGAAGAAAAACTTGCGATCATCGAAAAGAACCTAATCGAGAGTGGATATCCTCGAAAGTTTATATTAAAGTATAGAAATGAAGAAGCACACAAACCGAAACCTGACACCGTTGAAAAGAAACCAGTTTTCATCTGCCTAGCGTACAAAAGGGAAGACGTATCCACAAGAACACAAAAAAGAATCACAGGTGCATTAAAAAGAACGTTTCCAGCCGCCAGACTGATCCTATTTCACAACACTGTGTGCTCGTTAACCCAGTCAAAAGTAGATGAGTACCCTACTCACGTCAACTCCAACTGCATTTACCAATTCACGTGCACTTGCGGAAGCAAGTACATAGGAAGGACTGAGAGGACAGCATCTACTAGATTTTCTGAGCACATTCCTAAGAGTCTCCGTACAAAAGGAATAAAAATGTTATCGAGTGCAATCGCCAGACATTTTATTGACACAGGACACACAGTAGAAATTAGCCAAGCCTTCAAAATAATCAATACACAAAGAAACCCATGGCTACTTCGCTTCGCAGAAGCCATTGCTACCAAGAGATTTCGACCAGACCTCTGTATACAGAAAGATAGTGTGATTAATCTTTCACTACATTGGTAACCCTAACTCTATTTTATTTTATTTTTGTTTTGCCTTCCTGTCAGTATGCCTGTGTGTTTGTCTTGTTACGTAACATTCTATTCAATTTTGACCTTCAAGTTTCTAAATCTACTGAATTGTTTGTTATTCAAGTGTCGGTTTGTAGGGATTTGATTGGTTACAGGATTTTCATCATGAGCTGACATTAGTTAGAGAACCATTGGAAAACCTGAATTGTTTGTCTTTTTAAGTTAAAAATGTTACTTCACTATTCACCCCCACCCTCTTAAACTCCCCACCACAAGATGTGTAAATTCACTCTGTTCTCTGACCCTGACCCTGTATTATGCCTCTAACTAATCTGTTTTCCAATAGAAATCTGAACTCTTACCCCTCTTATCTAATTCCACTATATATAGTTAGTTGTTTTTTGACACTGAATAATCTGTCTACTTACATCAAATTCTGGAATTATGTTCCTTATACCTTCTATCTATAACTCCAAGTAATTATGAAAAAAGTATGTGCCAAAACTTTTTTTGAAACTTATGATTTGATTTTGTTTAGGATGTATGCAGTTGATGAGTATACACGAAATAAAACGAGTTTGTATTATCCTGCAAACATGTTCGTTCTTTCTCTCTTCAAAGAAATAATTCACTTCTGATGTTATATGCTACGACTACACTGCTGAAGAAATGATACAAATATACTACTGATTTTAGATTAACTCACCTTTTGACTATAAATCAAAAATAAGATTCGATGTTGTACACACCAAAGTTATTTAGGAGAAGTGGCTTCAAGCTTCACATTTACCCTCCCCCCCACCCCCAGGTATTTGTGATCCATTTAACACAGACCTGGGGTTTGTTTTTTTATCAATGCGAAGGCAGCATTTCCATATTTTTCTTGATTTGCTACATTTACCGACTACTAGTTAGCTGATTATTCCAACTGACTAAAGTCGACCAGGCCAGCAATCGTGTAAATTCACCATATAAACCCAATTTATG